GCTTATTGCTAAGTGTTCTAACGCTTTTTGTGGGACTTGTCCTCAATGACTGAGGCTGAGGCCCACTCAGCAACGGGTGTGGTACACCTAGCGAACACCTGGGCTGCTTGCTTTTAGCAAAGTACATGGCCCAGTGCGCGTCCTAGAGGCGCGCAACAAGAATAGGGGTTTGGGACCCTTTGAACCCAATCATGGGAACGAAGGATCGAAGAGCTGAGTCCCTGCAAGGGGCTCCAAACCCATTCTCGGCGGAACGCAGTGCACATGTAATAGTTTTACACCCAATTACAATGATTCAGACTTACAACGCTCAACGGAACAACAATATTCGAGCACAACACGTGTGGGTAGACAAGGCATGAAAACAAATAAAGATTACAATTGATCTGGACGCCTGATTTGTCGCGCCAATTCATCGGTGCGCCTTGCAACTCTACCACTGTAAGGTCTAATATATAACTTATAGGCTGAAGATTTCCATCGGCCTGCCGCCTTCAACTTAGCCGTGGAATACCCTAGGTAGGATTTTAGAGAGGCACCTCCAATCCTTAAACTATGACCCGACCAGACTGTCGAGCTTGACGGGTTCTGACTCTTGAGAAAATGTATCACCGTACTCCGCTCCAGAGGACCACCGCTTGTCGTGTGGAAAAGCGGGTCTTTGGGTCTCCCGACAGTCTTTTCTAAGATGTCACGAATTGCAGCTACTGGGTCGAGGTGGTTTGGCTGGTATGAGAGGCGTAGGTACTGATATTCGCCCGGCGCAGCCGTCTTCGCCAGACGAATGCGCAGCGCGACGTGTTTGCCATCCGTGTTGAAACAAACGTCCTTCCGGCGGATGAAAATTGCTGGGAAGTCGATGCGTCTCACGAGTTCACCTAATCGTGCCAAGCCCCAGAAGCCTGTCAGGACAACTCCTTTCATGACTAAACCATCAGTTGTGTTGAGATCCAAGGAGTGAATCAGGCTGTTTATGTCCATCAAGGTCAGTGCCGCCCGTCTTGGTGTGTAGCGCTCTACTTCTGCCTTCCTAGTCGCCACTAATAAAATTCGTAACCGGTCAATGTCAATTTTGGGGAAGGTTGAGTTGTGAAGAGAGTGCCACATTTGAATCCCCGTAAGATAACGTTTTTTTGTGTTGCTCAGCACGGGTTGATGGCCTTCATTGGAACTGCACCAAACAACGAACTGAAAGATGATACTCGGGGTTGTCGGAAAGAGCACCACCGGGAAACGGCTCATAAATCATAACACTAAAGGCACAACCCAGTTTCTCGGCAAAACTGGATTAAACCCCTAAGCCCTTAATAAGCTGTACACCTAAGACTCCGACCTCCTTAGGCTCAGCTGTTCCCGAACCCACCTCTCTTCATGGCCTGTCAAACCACTGTGAGTTATAGATGATATCTATTTCTTCCAGTTGTATAACAAACTAACTTGTTCATCGACCATATCCCAGTATGCGTAAACCGAAAACGCGCAAGAATCCAATTTCTACTTCGAATTCACAACAATCAAATCATAAGTT